CGCCCTGTGAAGGTGTGGGTCGACCCTCGGCCCGCCCGCCCGCCCGGCCGATGGGCCGGGGTTGGCCCGTATCACTAATCTCAACTTATGCAGGAGGAAATCAGGATCCGGTCGAATGGCTAAAATTGGTTAACAGCACTTTCGAGATGAATAGGATTGTTGGCACAAGAAAGTTGGCTGTTGTTGGTGCCAGTTTAACAGGCCTCGCTGTGTTTTGGTTGGAGGATCGAAGGAAAAAAGATCCAAGAATTTTGTACTGGGATAATGTATATGTTCTGGACCAAAGCTTCGTTTATCAGTTCCTCTTGAATTTCTGTACCCTGATGATGATGGCCAGTGAAATATGGAGTTATTAACCCGAAGGCAAGGTGCTATGGAAACAGTGGATCACTATGCCACCAATAAGTTGATATTGTTTCATCGTTTGTCGAAAATTGGGAATCAGTACTCTGAGAGTACAAAAGTGAAAATGTTTGTGCAAGGTCTTCGTCCCGACTTGTCGTTATCTGTTCAACCGTTTATGTCAAATACCTTCTGAGAAGTTGTAGAAAGGGCCCGGATATTCAAAATAACAATTGCGTGAAGTTTGGCTGTGTGCTGTCCCACTACAACCCATAATGTAGTCCCGAACTTTGTGGTTGCCCCTCCACAGTTGCCTCAGGTAGTGCCTTCTCCGACATCACAAGTAGCAACATCTGTGCCCTCAACAACAAAGAACCCTGTAGAACATGTAGTTTCCTTGTTGCAAGAAGTTGTCTCTGCTGTAACAAGAATTGACAAAGATGAAGATAATTGTCCCCATTCTTCTCCTATCAAAAATTTCCAGAAAGTACACCCTTTGGAAAAGACTAAGCCAACTACTAACCAACATGAATCGAGCAGTTACGTGAGCAAGAATAATGAGAAGGATGAAAAAACGAAGTCCATCGATTCTCTTGTTATAACGAATCTGAACAATAAAGATGATCATAAAAGGATACATTTGATAAACATGAAATAACGGATGACCCAGAGAATCCAATAAGAGATGTTTGGAACTTATTCGACGCTGAACGTGGCTATGAAAATGGAATCGGCGTTCGAAAAGATGAATGCAAGGCAAATAATAATGACACACTAGTACCTACCTTCTCCGTCATTTTCCAATATTATCAAAATGAAATTGGTATTAGAAAAGATAAACAAAAAGTATCTGTTGATTATCAAAAATCTGCTGAGATGGATCACAATAATAGAGCATATAATCTTGGCCATTGCTATGAAAATGGTAATAATAAGAATAAAAGCCATGTGTCTGTTGAGCAGCTAGATACAGACAATAAAACAACTGTAGAAGAACGATATAACGAAGATAGAAACAACGTAGTGATGTTTGATCGAGGAAAAGTAGTTAAATTATATGATAAAAAGAATAAAAATCGGGCATTCATTAATGATCAAAAATCAGCAGAAATGAACCATGCAGTAGAAATAAATAGTCTTGGTTATTGTTATCACGATGGAATTGGAGCTAGAAAGTATGAACCTAAGGCATTCGTTAACTATCAAAAGCCTGCGAATATGGGACATATGGGTAAAAACGTTGGTCTTGATCGTTGTTACCGTAATGGCATTGATATTACCAAGGATAGAAATAAAGTAACAATTTACTGCCCAAACATGAATAGTCTCAGAATCTGTGTTAATAAGAATGGAACTGGAATTAAAATGGAGGGACATAAGGCAATCGATTATCACCAAGAGTTTGCTGTTGAAGTACACAAGACTTTTGGAAGAAGCTTGCAAAAACCTGAAGGTAGCTTGCGCAAACAACATAGTCCTGGAGTCTGTTACCAAAAAGGGATAGGTACAGTTATGGATAAAAGAGTGGCAACTAAATGGGATTCAAAATCTGCTGGAAATGAAAAGCTGGCCAAAAATCATGAAGCCCTCAAAGCTGCGTATACGACGTGGAAGACAAAGATCGAGTTGTTTAAGGACCATAGTAGTATGAGCGAATGTAAGAATCAGAAGAATAATAGAGCATTGTATAATAGTATTAGGGTTAATGAGAAACCTGGTCTAAGCAATAGTAATCTTCAAAAAATATGTAGTACATGAATGGATAAGGTTGCACTCATTAGAGGTTCACTAGACCTAAATAAACACACTAGTGAAAACGATAATAAAATAAAAATGGTGAAATGTAAAGATATTAGTACAAACTCACCTTTCAGTAACAAAAGCATAGTGAAAATTAAGGCTAGTTGGATGGATTATTGGAAGGTTAAAATTAAGTTGTGGATGTCTCTTACATTAAAAAAGAAGTTGCACGTGATAAATTATCCTGTAATTGAAGTATAGAGTATTGGCAAGGACAAAATCGATTTAGTAAAATGCCCGTTTAAGAAAAGTAATTTAGGGGATCGTGGCAAGTGTAAAAAAAAAAAAAAAAAAAAAAAAAAAAATATGTAATACCAAGCTGTAAATTGCCATGTGTTCTTACGGACATCAGTGTCTGTGAAATTAAAAAAAAAAACAGAAATAAGTAATGAACGCTAGTAGACATTCGCTGGAGCTCATTCTTCGAGCGGAGGAAGATATTATGGAAAATTTTTGTTCACGTGATCGATGAAACATTATCTCATTTCTCCGCAGTAAGCCATTACATTTCTATGACTACATCGAGGCAGCAAATTACTACATTCTTCGTCGAGTATTAGTTCATTACCTACCCTTACATAATTTTCTTTCATTTCTTCCCATTACCACATTCTTTTCATTCATTACCTTATTCTCATGACATTCATTTGGTTACCTCATTTTACTGCATGTATGATAGTAATGAAGTATATATAAGGAGTGACTCTAGCTGGCGGGTAAAGTAATAAGTAGTGAGTAAGAAGAGTGTGCATAAGAAGTTCTATATAAAGAGAGTAGTGTAGAAGTGTGTAGAATGATAGAACAATCTTGTATATAATTTTGTATATAATCCTTACTGTAAATAAATAATGGCTTAATACATCTCTAATAAAATACTCACCCCACATAATTTGTATTGTGCTTAAACTAAATTGTTGAACACAATTATCGCTCTCCCGATTTGGGCGTAACACCTTCAACAAGAACAAGATCTCAAATACAAGAAAGTTTACCAATATTAACAAGAATAAGAAAAAAAGAAAATAAAGAAACTAATAAATTAAGACAGCAAAAATTTAGAGCTTCTATGACAGAAGCTCAAAAAGAAGAAAGAAGAAGAAAAAAAAATAAAAGAAGACAAAAAACATATAAAAAAAAAAACAAGAACAATTTGAACAATTTTATAAAATAGGACATTGTAGTTTAGATGAATATTTGGATGAGAGGATTGTAGATAAGAATGTGGAAGATAAAAGATATAGATTTGTAAGAATGGACATTATTTGTGAATATTGTTTAGCTTTAAGATGAGAAGGAGAAAAACCAGGACTTTGCCGCTCTAAAGAAGAAATCCAATTAGTACAACTTAAACCACTGTTACGACTAGGGAGAGCTTTTGTATTTCCAAGCCAATTTAGTCCAGCGCCGTAAGCATAAATCCTGATGGCAAG